GGTGTGATCTTGGCTCACCGCAACCTCCGCCTCCCAGGTTCAGGCAGTTCTGCCTCAGCATCCTGAGTAGCTGGGATTACAGGCACGCGCCACCATGCCCAGCTAATGTTTTGCATTTTTAGTAGAGACGGGGTTTCACCATGTTGACCAGGGTGGTCTCGATCTCTTGACCTCATGATCCACCCACCTCGGCCTCCCAAAGTGCTGGGATTACAGGCTTGAGCCACCGCGCCTGGCTCTTCAGATCTCTTAAAGAAGACCCTGTCTCATCCAGATAAGCCATCAGCCGATTTTCCTCATGTCATTATGGAGTCTCATAGAACCTGTTTTCTCAAACCTTCTAATCCTGGATCAGAGATGTTTTATTCTTTTAAAGCAGTGACCCTTCATGTTTACCCTGGGGCTTCCGAGCAGAAAGGCATATCTTTGGAAAATTGATCTTCAGCTTCTAGCTTTAATTTTCTACATCTCAAACTCCCTTAGCTAGCTATACGACTAAACCTCTACTTTTAAAATATCAAGGGCAAAAGTGTTTGCTTAATAACAAAACTCAATACAAAGAAATTAGTCCCAGGCTTAAACTTTAAATGTTTGTATTTTCCCTCTGTATTGTGGTACTATACAATTATTAGTTTTTTTATGTTTTTGAGATGGAGTTTCACTCTGTAGTCCATGTTGGAGTGTAGTGGTGCCATCTTGGCTCACTGCAACCTCTGCCTCCCGGGTTCCAGCAATTCTCCTGCCCCAGCCTCCCAAGTAGCTGGGATTACAGGTGTGTGGCACCACAGCTGGCTGATTTTTGTATTTTTAGTAGAGACAGGGTTTTGCCACGTTGGCCAGGCTGGTCTTGAACCGATCACATGCCTGGCCATAGGTAGTTTTTTTTTGAGAGACACATTGGGAGAGATACGGAGACACACACACGTATGTTTCTTTTGCCCCATTTTGTTTCACCATTAAACGCATACCAGCTTGATTGCCCTGGGGATATTTAGTTGAATAAAAATAAATATATATATGTATATTTTTTTAAACATATTAAATATAGTTTAATAAAAATATATTTTTTTTTCACTAGAATAATTTCACTCTTTGCATTACGCTGGCATCCATATAATGTGTCTGTCATGATTGTCCTCTGTGACCTTTTTGGGTGTTTTGGTTTTGTAAAAGATTAGCGTTAACAAAGACACTTCTCCCTCTCAAAGGAAGTTTATACTGGAGTCAGTGAAATTAAATATCAGGAAGAAAACAGTTGCCAACAAGACATTTCATTCTAGATTTTCCTTTTATCGTCTTTCTTAAATTTGGAATCCTACTCCCAGGGAGAAAAACAACATCACAGGAATACCTGCAAACTATTAATACAAGCCAAACTTAATCTTCAGGACTGAGCTAAATCCTACCTGCTTTCCTCCTGGCTCCTGTCAGAAAATAGAGGAACTGCAGCATTTTGCTAATGGTACCTTGTCAATCCGCTCCCCAGCCACTTTATAGTTTACTTCTATTCTTAAATATGTTGATGATGATTTAGTGCCCCTTTTTTCTGTTAATCTTAGAAGTTTAATAGGATAGAAGGAAAAAGTGCTATCCAACAGAATGAAGAAAGGTGCAGACTTCTTATTCAAACACCGCGCCCTGTTATAATAGGAGTAGGTGCCACATCTCTGTGTTTCAGTGAAATCTCAAGTGATTGTAGCTAAAATTTACATTTAGCCTCTTATTGAGGCTGCAGTTCAAAATGTGCTCTTGGTTTTCTTAGAGGTGTTTTAAAACTTTTGGTTGCCCAGTATTAGGGCCTGGAAAAATGTTCTGTTTCATTAAGTGGGTGCCTGCCACTAGTCCTGTTTTTTATCCAGTGTTTTTTCTGTGGTTGAATTACAAGTGCTGGGATTTTCAAGCACCTATTCCTCTTTCAGTTTTCAAACTTAACTCTGTTTTGTTAGGGGAAAAAAAACTTTTCCAGGAAATAGAGTCCTGGCCCTCTTTTTAAATTTTGAGACGGTGCCTTGCTCTGTCACTCAGGAGGCTGAAGTGCAGTGGCGTAATTTTGGCTGAGTGCAGCCTCCGCCCTCTAGGTTCAAGTCATTATTGTGCCTCAGCGTCTTAAGTACCTGGGACTACAGATGTGCGCCACCACATCCAGCTAATTTTTCTATTTTTAGTAGACAGACACAGAGTTTCGCCATTTTGGCCAGACTGGTCTCAAACTCCTAACTTCAACTGATCCATCCACCGCGGGCTCCCAAAGTGCTGGAATTACAGACATGAGCCACCACACCCAGCCACGACCTTCTTTTTAGGCATCACAAAAACTTTCTTGGCGTTAAACTAAAAGAATTGCGTTCATCTTAACTGTTGAAAATCTCCACTGCCTCTGAAGCCAATGTGAGACCATTTACCAAATTCTCAAGTTTGCTTCTTTAAAAGTAAATACAACTGGCTGGGCACGGTGGATCACACCTGTAATCCCAGCACTTTGGAAGTCTGAGGCAGGTGGATCATGAGGTCAGGAGAGCAAGACCATCCTGGACAACATGGTGAAACCCCGTCTCTACTAAAATACAAAAAAAAATTAGCCAGGCATGGTAGTGCACAGCTACTGCTGAGGCTGTAGTCCCAGCTACTGTGGAGGCTAAGGCAGGGGAATCACTTGAACCGGGGAGGCAGAGGTTGCAGTGAGCCGAGATCACGCCACTGCACTCCAGCCTGGCGACAGAGCGAGATTCGGTCTTAAAAAAGATAAAAATAAAAAAAGTAAACACAACTTTCTGTTTTGAACTGAGTTATTTTTGTGGTCCGGATTTGATACTGGAGTTAGAGGTGAAGAGACTCATTTTCCTGTAGGATATTATTCATCTGTGGTGTGTCCTTTGTGCAGCACCTTTTGGAAGAGGAGATTGTTTGTTTTGCACTATGGGCATGCTTATGATAGGTAGCCTAATGGGGAGAATGGTCTCTGTTGGTTTTAAAGTATGAATAAAACATTCTTTCTTGTTTATATTCAAAATAAACATTCCCATTTAACTCCTTCCTTTTGTCAGAATTGCCACTTCAATTTGTTTTAATTTCCCCACATGCAATAGACTTTTTTCCAAACAACCTTCTCTGTTTTATAATTCAGGCTTATAATTCTATTAGTAGATTTTACTTTTGCCTGAATTTCAGCATTTTGGGGCTAGTTTGATTTATTAGCGTTTTGTGGTTTGGAATGCACTTTGCAGGAACACTACCATGCAGAATCACTCTGTGCCTGTTCCACTAGATCATATGTCTAAACCACCCAAACTAGGTTTGCAGTGGCCTTCCCAGACTTCTTGCTCAACTGCACTGAACATTGTTTTAAACATGTTTCTGTCCCAGACCACAGTGGTTAAGTTTGGATTCTACTAATTTCAAAAACACATGTTCAATCCATAATTAATTCAGAACACATTAATGTGATATCAAGAAGTAGGCCTGGTGTGGTGGCTCACGCCTGTAATCCCAGCACTTTGGGAGGCCAAGATGGGCAGATCACCTGAGGTCAAGAGTTTGAGACCAGCCTGGTCAACATGACAAAACCCCAGCTCTACTAAAAATACAAAAATTAGCCAGATGTGGTGGCGCGAGCCTGTAGTCCCAGCTACTTGGGAGGCTGAGGCAGGAGAATCACTCGAACCCAGGAGGCAGAGGTTGCAGAGAGCCCAGATCATGTCATTGCACTCCAGCCTGGGTAACATGAGTGAAACTCCGTCTCAAAAAAATAAATAAATAAATAAAAATAATGTAATGTCAAGAAGTAATACTACACCTTCCCTCCTCTCTCTCTCTGGCCATTAGGTTTACCTAACAATAATAGTTTGCTGTGTAGCGTGGTTTGGGATGTGCAGCTAGACTTCACTTCTGCACCTGTTTGTCAGACCTTCCTCCCTAGATTCATCCCCTCACCGTCCATTGCATTCTTTGTGTGGTTACAAGGACTTGTCCATAGGATCATGGCAAAGCTGTAGATGTTAACAGCTCTTTTCACTCCATTTAGAAGTGAGCATTACCTAAGCATTTGGATGTGTATGTAATTTCTTGCAAAACACATTAATCAGGTTTTTCTAGAAGGCAGAACAATCTGAGTAACGATGACACAGTATTTTTCTTTAAAATGAATGTATTCCTAAATGTTTTCCTTGGATATATTCCTAAGAATTTTTCTTTATTTTCTCCAAAGTAAAGAATTAGGAAATCAACAGGAAAATGTCAGACGTTTTTCTCTTTCATAAATATTGTTTGATACAAGCACGGAACACTTTTGTAAAACAGCCACTTTATTTTGAGCAGATTAAAGAATGTGCTGATGAACCAGTTGGAAAAGGGTACATGGTTTCCTGCTTAGTGGATCACCGAGGCAACATCACTGAGTATCAGTGTCACCAATACATTACCAAGATGACGGCCATCATTTTTAGTGATTACCGTTTAATCTGTGGCTTTATGGATGACTGCAAAAATGACATCAACATCCTGAAATGCGGCAGTATTCGGCTTGGAGAAAAGGTATCTAATACTGCATTGGCTTCAACAAAGGGTCTTAAAAATTTGGTGTGTGAAAAGCTTTTATAACTGACATGGAAAAAAATTAGGACTGGAGTGACCTTAAGTTGAAATTAAAGAAACTTATCCAGACAGCCTAAAAGCTAAGGCTGGTTGACAGTGCATTTCATGTGTTTGTAGTGAAATATTTCAGTACTATATGGGAAGCAGAGGAATTAATACCTGCAAAGAGTGGTGTTATTTTCACAATATTAGACTAATTGCTGGTTACCTATAAAATGTCTCTGGCAATGGGAGACACCTGAGTTCTGTTTTTTTTTTTTTTTTTAACAGAGTCTGTCTTTGTTGCCCAGGCTGTAGCGCAGTGGTGGGATTTCCATTCACTGCAGGCTCTGCCTCCTGGGTTCAAGCGATTCTCCTGCCTCGGCCTCTTGAGTAGCTGGAACTACAGGAATGCACTACCATGCCTGGCTAATTTTTGTATTTTTAGTAGAGATGGGGTTTCACCATGTTGGCCAGGCTGGTCTCAAACTCTTGACCTGAAGTGATCTGCCCGCCTCAGCCTCCCAAAGTGCTGGGATTACAGGTGTGAGAGCTATCCCCCACCCCGGCCAAATTGTCTAATCTTTCCCTGAGTATACCTCATGGTTACTATAAAAAACAATTACTTAGCATACTGGCTGCTGTCCATCTATAAAATATTAGAAAATTTTCAGATATGTGAAGATACTTCTAGTTTGTTGGAAGAAAGGTCTTTTCTAAGTAGGATGTATTATTAACTTTCATCTCAGAGGAACTGATTTTAGTAAAGACTGGAAAGAATATAACTACCTAGCTAGTTTCTTCCACAGTTACATCTGATCTTTTTTTTGGACTTAATCTGCTGAACAGAAGGTCACAATAGAAATTTGGCCAGGTTTATTCTGAATTTGTTTGCTCACCAAAAGTGAAAAAAACTCATGAAAAGTAATGGATGCCAGTGGGAGAGGGAGTCTGAGACCTCTGGCATCAGCTATTAATTGCTGCTGCTCATTAATCTGCTGTTCAGGAAATATGATGGGAAATAAAACCCATTCATCCCTTTGCCGTCTATTTGTTCATAGTTGGCAGGCGTGTCACTGATAAAGGGGACATGGTGTTAGGATCTTGGAACTGAGCACACGGTTCAAATGCAGAGTTTCTTGCTGTGTATTGTCTGGCTGTCACCGAAGCCTTGATGCCCTTTACTTATTATCAGCACAGGGCCTGATCCCTTATCAGAGGGTGCTGCTGAGTTGGTCTTGAAAACTCTGTGAGCTTGGCATAAATCTTTCAGGCAAGTAAAGAAAAGGCAGCTTTAATAAAGAACACAGTGTTTTCTTTCCCAGCAGACTCTAAAAATGGCACAAAAGCACTTAAGTCATTCTGATGATGCAGGAAGCTCCTCTGACTTTTTTTAGGATATTGAAAATTATACCCAATTCCAAACCTGACTCCTTTTGAAATCTCCACATGGTGTTCCAAACATACTTTTCAGGAATCAGCGATGAGGCTTTTTCACCCTCATGATGTGTGCTCCATGCAGTAAAACCAAGAGTTTCAGCCCCTCTGTGGAGTAGTTCTTGCCTGGTAACCATCAAGGTAGCAGCCCATTAGCCTCCCTCTAACTCTCTAAATTGTCACCTGCGTATATGAGTTTTAGTAAGTCTGTAGTGACTGAAACAATTGCAGAAAATAGTACTGCTGGAGCCAAAAGCATGGCAGAATTGTTTATTCAACTTAGATAAAATAGCAAAAATTGTTTCTATGGACCAAAGATAGAAATGACACTTTTGTCATTTAATCTTTCATTATGGCTACTAGTTAGGTGAAATTTCAGTTTATCCCAGGTCACTATGCCAGCATCAAAGGCTTTCTTATATTTGGGGGACAGTGAGATGGACTCACACTTGAACTTGAAAAAGCCTCTTCCTTCCTCTGTCATTTGCTCTGTGCTACAACCAAGTTTAAAAAAAGAGGAAGGCATGTGCTCAGCTCTTCTGTTCCTTTTCTAACTGTAGTTTCTCCTCTTAAGCCAGTTATTTAGATAGAAAAATTATCCTGAAAATTAACGAAGTGGCTTCTGAACACAGAAAACAACAGGCTTGTCAGTTTCAAATTTGCTGCCACTGAAGCTTGAAACTCTTCTATGACTGGTTGTGACCTCACCTCCTCCATAGGTCAGAGGAGAGGAGTCATGGTTAATCTTTTTGTACCTTGCCCTTGTGTGAACACATAAATGTAATGATTTCAAAACTATGATTTTTTTCAAAATGTTAAATTTTAGAGCAAAGAAGATATATTAATAAAGCCTTTAGCATTTTCTATAGTAATAAATGTTGTTAAAATGAAAGGACAGATTTCCAAAAGTGAAGGTTTAAATGATTTACGTCATCTGAAGAAAAGGAACGTGGTTTCCAACAAAGGAACTTCACTGTGGACATGTGCAACAGTATTAGTGCTTTTATGCTTTTCTCTCAGTAGCTGTATCATTTGTTATTTCCTGCTTCTAACCAGTTAGTTTGAGTAATTCTGATAATCCTTTTTCCTTTATCCACTGAGGTAGATCAGAGAAGACAGCAGAAGCATTGTAATAGAGAATGGTTTATAGCAGAGATGAAAACCGAGTTCTTGCCTGCTATTGAGAAGTTAGTGTTAGCCTCTGTTGTAGTTTGAGTTTTTTTTGTTTTTGTGTTTTTTTCATGGGGGTCGTTGTTGTTAAAGGACAAAGAGTTGAGGAAGAAAAAATACTGCCTATCAGACTTCTAAAAATGGATCAAGGCATTGGCAGTTTTTAGGCAGATGTTTTTCTACCATAATAAAATTAACAAAAATTTATTTTAAGCTCATTTATAGGATAATTTATTGCTCATATGCCAAGCCTGTGTATAAATAACTTTTTAAACCTAAGTGGTTTTATTGTCTCATAATGTGCAGGTGTGTAGTTCACCTCACTTACTTTATCCATGCAGTCTTCGTTGTCAGATATTTGTATGCATTTCGGTTACAAACTCAAATGGGATGCACTAAAAAGCTCAGAGACTCTGAGGAACTCCTGAAATACCATTATTTGAAAAAAGTATCTATCTGAAAGTTACAATGAATGGAAACATATAGTAGAAGTATTTTTATGAACTAATACCAGTATGTGGTGCGACACACATTCACACATTGCTTATCAATGAGGATACAATGAGGATACGAGGACACATTCTGAGAAATGTGTTGTTAGGCATTTCATCACTGTGTGAATATCATAGAGTACGCTTACGCAGACCTAGATGGTGTAGCCTACTACACACCTAGGCTATGTAGTGTAGCCTGTTGCTTCTAGGCTACAAACCTGTACAGCATGTGGCTATGCTGAAAACCTAGAGGTATGTATAACACAATTATAGTATTTATGTATACAAATACATATAGACATAGGAAAGGCACAGTAAAAAATACAGTATTCCATTGTTGGGTGTAGTGGTGCATGCCTCTAGTCTCAGCTACTCGGGAGGATGAGGCAGGAGGATCACTTGAGCCCAGGACTTTGGGACTGCAGTGAACTGTGATCCCCTCTGCTGCCCTCCAGCCTGGGCGACAGGGCAAGACCCTGTCTCATAAATAAATAAATAAATAAATAAATAAATAGAAGCGTTAAAAAAAAAAAAAAAAAAAAGTTTTAGGAGGAGTTTTATAGACTCTACCCACTCACCCAGATTAACCCCAGGTCTAGATAAATAAACAATAACTGTTAGCTAGGCACTTTGTGTTCTACAACTCAAACGAGGTAGTTAACTCCTGTGAGCCTCTGTTCATTCATGTACCCAGTAGATAGCAGAGCTGTATTCTTTCTTTGTATGTATGTTAGGAGATAAAATGAAAGTTTTCATGGAAACACTTGGAAATTAAGGGGCTATAGAACATATCCTATTATAATAAAATAGGAAAAAATACATTATTTGATTAATTTGAAATTTTGTCTGAAGTAGATGTTAACCCCTATTTAGTTTTAGGAATGATCATCTCCTCCTCCTCCTCCTCCTCCTCCTCCTCCTCCTTCTCTCTTCTTCTTCTTCTTCTTCTTCTTCTTTTTTTTTTTTTTTTTTTTTTTTTTTTTTTTTTTTTTTTGGGCCGGCATCTCACTCTGTCACCTAGGCTGGAGTGCACTGGCACGAACTAGGTTCACTGCAAGCTCCACCTCACAGGTTCAAGCAATTCTCTCGACTCAGCTTCCTGAGTAGCTGGGGTTACAGACGCCTGCCACCATGCCCAGCTAATTTTTGTATTTTTAGTAGAGATGGGGTTTCACCATGTTGGCCAGGCTGGTCTCAACTCCCAGCCTCAGATGATCCACCTGCTTTGGCAACCCTAAGTGCTGGGATTACAGGCATGAGCCACCACGTCTGGCCAAAATCTTTTTATTATACACAGATTGTTTCATAGATAAGTATTTTATTCTAACAAGATTTTGAGTGTGTGTGTATAAATAAGTGATAGCACTGTATTTTAAGATGCTTTGGTTTGCTATATTAGTGGTTATACCTTAAATTGTTGAAGCATATCTTATGAGTATAGATTAGGACTCTTGAATGGAAAACACTTAGGGGAACTATCTCGTATTTTGCATCAATGAATGTTTGTGGTTGCTATGTCGGTGATGAAATGTACAATTAAAGACAATTGGATGGTTTTTAGGAAAACTCTCAAAAGCAGTTTGTGTAAACAGTGGTAATCTTGTTAAATCCCATTAAGATAAATCCAAAACATCAGCATGAGTATTAAACTACAGATGGTGCATGTTGGGGTATTCGTGGACACTACAGAGGAGGAAAAGGAGAAAGAAGGTCTCGGTAACTTCTTAGTAGATTTTGTGGTTTGTTGGTTTTTAACTTGACTGAAAGCACTGTTATTTGGGAAATGCCTAGTTTTTAGAGACAAATGAACAGAGATTTCAGCAATGTAATTTCAGTATTGACATGAACTATGACCAGAACATTGAGCTGATGTGTTTCTTAAGAATTTTTGACGTTTTAAAGTTTTATAAATTCAGGTTCTTATTTCTAGTGCTAACTAAACTGTAGTAGTTAAACTTCCCAGGATCTTTGTTTCCATTTGTAGCATGCAAGTATTATATTCTAACTGAAGGTCATTGAGGGCATTTTCTTTAACTTCCACAGTGTGGTTGGTTCTGACTTGATTTTTCGATAGCACGTTAATGAGCTAACTCCATGTTGGTGTTTTATAATTGTGTGTGTGTGTGTGTGTGTGTGTGTTTAGCCAAATGTTGTTTATTTGAAACCCATGGGTGAAAGTTTTAAAATATTAATATCCTCGCTATTTTAGGATGCACATTCACAAGGTGAGGTGGTATCATGCTTGGAGAAAGGCCTGGTGAAAGAAGCAGAAGAAAGAGAACCCAAGATTCAAGTTTCTGAACTCTGCAAGAAAGCCATTCTCCGGGTGGCTGAGCTGTCCTCGGATGACTTTCATTTAGACCGGCATTTATATTTTGCTTGCCGAGATGATCGGGAGCGTTTTTGTGAAAACGTGAGTCAGCTCAGAAACTGTTGTGTTCTTCCTTTTATTTTCACACATAGATAATTTTGTTTTAATTAATTTAATTGTACTGTTTTTTAAGAGGCTGAGTCTCACTATGTTGCCCAGGCTGATCTTGAACTTCCAGCCTCAAGCAATTCTCCCACCTCAGCCTACCCAGTTTTTGAGACAGGGTCTTGCTGTGTTACCCAGGCTGGAGTGCCGTGGTGTGATCATGTCTCACTGCAGCCTCCAACTCCTGGGTTCAAGTGATTCTTCTGCCTCACCTTCCAAGTAAACTTTTTGTAAGCGGAGGTTGCTATGTTGCCCAGACTGGTCTTGAACCCTTGGCCTAAGATGATCCTTCTACCTCTGTCTCTGAAAGTGCTAGGATTATAGACATGAGCCACTGCAACTAGTCATAAAATATTTTTTAATACTGTAATCTAAAATAAGCCATCAAGAAACCTCACATGTAGAAAAGCTGCAGAAATGAAAGATGAACTTGGTCCCAGTATAGCAGAAAGTGGTAACTGGATGTTCAACCTTGATAATTGAACATTTAGTTAAGAGTTGGCTTCTGATGATCTCCACATAGTATTTTTTCTGCTTTATCTCCCTTCTCAATTTCAGTTCTTGGAAATCTGTTTTATCCATGGGAATTTTATTTTACCCATGATCCTTTTCACATCTATTCAGTGTCTAAAACTTTTACACACATTTATATGTTTTTGACTAAGGTGAAGAAACAGCAGGTGGCTAATTTTTAAAACCAAATCCTTAATTACCACCTCCTGACTCTGTAGAACAGCTTTCTAACACTTTAAATAGAATGGTCTCTCCATCCTTACAACAAAGGACTGAAAGTAACTTGTGTATACTTACACTCTGCCTGCTGGTTGGAATTAACAGCTTTAACCATCAGAGCCACTGATGTAAGAGTTTTATTAACTCTAGCATACGCCTGTAAGAAACAAGACTCAGAAGCTGGGCACGGTGGCTCCCACCACTTTGGGAGGCTGAGGCGGGCAGGTCACTTGAGGTCAGGATTTTGAGACCAGCCTGGCCAACACGGTGAAACCCTGTCTCTACTAAAAATACAAAAATTAGCTCGGCATGGTGGTGGGTGCCTATAATCTCGCTACTCAGGAGGCTGAGACAGGAGAATCACTTGAACCTGCAAGGCGGAGGTTGCGCTAAGCTAAGATCGTGCCACTGCATTCTAGCCTGGGCAACAGAGCAAAGCTGTCTCAAAAAAAAAGAAGACTCAGACTCTGACACTTCTCTTGGTTCCCTAATTAACAAAATACATCTGCGAACAAATGACAAATGCCACATATCATGGGGATATTTTTTTCATCTTTACTGCAGTTACTGTTTTTGTTCAAAGGCTAGTAAATTTTATAAATTTTAAAAATGTTTATCCAAAGGTGCTTACCGTTGTAATCATTTAATAGAAAGTTCTATATGAGATTGTGGATAATGTTCATCATAACTACTTAGCTAAAGTAGTGTATGTTCCATCTTACAGACACAGGCTGGTGAGGGCAGAGTGTACAAGTGCCTCTTTAATCATAAATTTGAAGAATCCATGAGTGAAAAGGTAAGTATTACTTTGAAACTAATGAATATTTTGATTTTTTAAAAGGTTTCTCAAATTCTCTCAAACAATACTTACAATCTTATACAAAAATGTAAATGACTGATAAAGCTCACTCCTTTCAAAGGTGAGGTACTTGGGTTTCAGGTGAAACCAAGCTTAAACCCGAGATTGGCTAAAACCAAGAAAATGAAGCCCTGATTGTGATACAGACGGTGAGAAGCCAAGTGAGGTTCTCACTGTGGTTTTTTCAGTTTTGTTTTTTTATTTTTTTTTCCTCCTGATATGAAGTCTTGCTCTGTCACCCAAGCTGGAGTGCAGTTGCATGATCTCCGCTCACTATAGCCTCTGCCTCCCAGGTTTAAGCAATTCTCCTGCCTCAGCCTCCCTAGTAGCTAGGACTACAGGTGCCTGCCAGCACACTTGGCTAATTTTTGTATTTTTGGTAGAGACAAGGTTTCACTATGTTGGCCAGGCTGGTCTCGAACTTGTAACTTCAGGTGATCGGCCCACCTCTCACTGGTTTTATGTACAATGCTCAGCGTGATTTTATATAAAACCGCACTGAGGCCAGCCCTGCCTATTCAAGAAGTTTAGATTAGCCAAATCAATGTGCTTTGTAGGTAATTATTTAATTTTTCAGCAGCTGTATCATTAAGCATCCTCTTTTAGTTCTCTGTCCCTGGAGGAATGCAGGAATCATTGATGACTTTTGAAACAATTAATTTTGCTGTCTTGTCATTTACTTTCCAGTGTAGCTGAAGAAATGTTTCTCATTTCTGTTTTCTTATGTCATTTGAATAATCTTATTCAAATCTTATATCATTATTCACATAATATAGAATAATTGAATAATTGTAATTTAAAATATAGACTAGAATATCGCAAGTGTTAATGTTAGTTGCCAGTTTGATACTGTTGAAATTTATGTTAGGAGTATTGTTAAAGTGGAAAAGGATGCTGTGTGTCAAGTTAATGTATTGGGATCTGTTCTGGACACTGCTATTGCAGCAACACTTCGCAAGTGACTACAGAATTTCTAGGTTCCCCACTCCCTTACCCCTGTCTCACGCCATACTAGTTTAGCTCAGTTGTGCAAATTTTAACCAAACTTAAAGATAGATATGTTAGTAATAACCGCAGTTGTTAACATGTACCTGACTGAGTCGACGTGCTCATCTTAGAGGTGCACATCAACAGTGTAACCACCTGAGTGGTCTCACGGCTCTTGCTGTACTCTTTCTTCAGTGTCGAGAAGCACTCACAACCCGCCAAAAGCTGATTGCCCAGGATTATAAAGTCAGTTATTCACTGGCCAAATCCTGTAAAAGTGACTTGAAGAAATACCGGTGCAATGTGGAAAACCTTCCGCGATCCCGTGAAGCCAGGCTATCCTACCTGCTCATGTGCCTGGAGTCAGCTGTACACAGAGGTAGTGTTCATTTCTTTTTATCATATATGTTCCTTTTGGGATTCATACTCTAAAGTTTTTCATATGTAAATGTTAGTTTCCTCCCATATTTATTTTTTTATTTTCCATGTTTTTAAATTAATTATTACTATTTTTTTAAAATAGAGATGGAGTTTCACCATGTTGGCCGGCCTGGTCTCGAACTCCTGGCCTCAAGCGATCCTCCCACCTTGGCGTCCCTGAGTGCTGGGATTACAGGCGTGAGCCACCATGCCCAGCTGAATATTTTTCATTTTTGAAAATTGTGTGGCATTTTGGGGGGACTCAAGGTAGCATGATTTAGCACATGGGGCAGACTTGGCTTCAATTTTTAACTCTATCACTAAACCAACTGTCTGGGTGACCATTTTTTGTTTTGTTTGGTTTTAATCTTTTTATTTTAAGTTTTCCCCATTGGCATTTACAGATGAAAGAAGGTGGGGGAGCCTGTAGTGAATGTCTGAAGTGTAGTCTTTTCCAAAAGTTTTAAATGTGTAGGCCAGTGGAGATTGTTCTTTGGCTTTCATTTTTACCCCAAAAGTTATTGATAAGAATTTCACGGGCAAAGTATTTGCTTTATTAGTGCAGTAGTCTAACACCTGTTTCATGCAGAACGCTGACAGGAGAAGCCTGAATATCTGGAGTCTAAGCCTATGTTATGCTGCTAAAGCTTTTGCTTATTCTTTAGTCTGACTGGTAGGTATATTGTAGTACAGATAGAAATCTGTACTTTTAATAGGTGGTGATTTGTGATGCTAATGCATACCATTACCCTCTGTAATGTTACGACCTGCATCCTAACTTAGGGCGACAAGTGAGCAGTGAGTGCCAGGGGGAGATGTTGGATTACCGACGCATGTTGATGGAAGACTTTTCTCTGAGCCCTGAGATCATCCTAAGCTGTCGGGGGGAGATTGAACACCATTGTTCCGGATTACATCGAAAAGGACGGACCCTACACTGTCTGATGAAAGTAGTTCGGGGGGAGAAGGGGAACCTTGGAATGAACTGCCAGCAGGCGGTAAGGAGACTTTTGCTATTGCCTTTTTGAATGTCACATTTATCAGCTGAGGAGCCTCTTCCTGATGCTGTCCCACCTTGCTTTATCTGGATCATTTGTGATATAACATTGAAAATTAGGTACTAAGCACCAGAGACAGAGCGTTGTTTCTTCAGACATGTCTTAGTAAGAATGTGGCATTTGCTACAGAGCAAAAGTTTGAGCTCATAATCAATAAAAAGAATTACCTTCTTAGATAGAAAGCATTATTTGCTAAGGGTTTCTAATGAAAGGGCAGCTTGCTAGACTGGATTTCCTAAACTCAGAATCAAGGCAAACCAGGTTCTGATCCATGAGGACGGGCCCTCTACCAAGAGAGGATTTGCCTGTCTAAATAGGCTTGATTGAGTTGAGGCTGAAAGAGAGAGTTGATATAAATTGAAATTTTTTCTAAAAGTTTATTTTTGTTACTGATTTGCAGCATGGCATGAATTCCTGGCCTGAAGGATCAAGAGAGCATGTCGTTTTTGAAATCACACTGTCTTTTCCTCATACACTAGGACAGCTATGCATGGAAGAGTCATTTTCTTTTTAATTTAATTTAGGTTCCAGGATACATATGCAGGATGTACAGGTTTGTTACATAGGTAAACATGTGCCCTAGTGGGGGTCTTTCCTCTTCTAGCCCTAAACCTCACAGTTAGCATACTTTGCTGGGGAAGATAAAGTTCTTCTTGATCTAGCATCTTGTAAACAGTTGAATAACTACAGGTCAGGTATGAAACGCAAAGTTAAAATATTGGAGGTTTAGTGCATCTGTTCCATTCCTGTTGTCCATGTTGATTGCTCTTTACTGGGCAGGAGTCTTAGAGCAACTTAACATACCATGTGCACCAGTGTGCCCTGAGCAGTGAACTTTCCTGTAGGGAGCACAAGAGTTAGTTTCACTTTATATCCTAGAATAGAAACTTGAGGCTCTCTCATTAGTTAAACTTTAGAAAACCACAGCCAGTCTTATTATTTTGTAGTTGGCATTTTATTAAAAACTGTATATCAGCCTGAATTTTATTTTCCTGATAATCATGTGAAATCAGAATTTTACAGTCTGAAACAACTTTGAAGACTGAAACACAACAGTTTTATACAATTTGGATATGGAGTAAAATTTCATATTAACTTTTGTTACTCACCTTGACCCAAAGTAGACACCAGTGCGTGTATGCATGTGTGTGCATGCGTATGTGTGTGTGCATGTGTGCCTATGCTTCCCATGGTGGGAAAATAGGCAAATGTAGCTTCTTCTCTAAAATACCAAGCTAGTGCAGGAGGGAAGGCTTCTGTGGTATCCTGGTGGCCTGGGCTACTGACCAGAGCCCAATACCCTCACCAAGGCCTGTTCTTAAATCAGAGCAGCTAGTGTGTTGACATGGGCTTCAGAAGGGAAGGAATCTGCTGTTTCACTTTGCCACAGTGTTGTTTCTAAGGTGCAGTTCTTGCTGGCAACTGTCCTGGGAAACCTGTTTGCCTGTGTATGTCCTGGGACCCAGACCAAAAATCAGTCAGGAGACAGCCTGTATTTGCATTTCATCCTTAAAGCAACAAGGAAAGGTTGTTGGAGGAGGATCAGGAATGAACTTCCCTTTTTTTTTTTTTTTTTTTTGAGACAGAGTTTCACTCTTGTCGCCCAGGCTGGAGTGCAATGGCGCAATCTTGGCTCACTGCAACCTCCGCCTCCCGGCTTCAAATGATTTTCCTGCCTCAGCCTCCCGAGTAGCTGGGATTACAGACATGCACCACCATTCCTGGCTAATTTTTGTATTTTTAGTAGAGATTGAGTTTCACCTTGTTGGCCAGGCTGGTCTCGAACTCCCGACCTCAGGTGATCCGCCTGCCTCAGCCTCCCAGAGTGCTGGGATTACAGGTGTGAGCCACCATGCCTGGCCTAAACCTTTTTATTGAGACTACGCTTATAGTAAAGGATACAGAAAAAAGAAAATAGACTGGTTTGACTTTATTTTGAGGCACTAATTCACACCCAAGGCTTTTTAAAATCTAGCTGGTTGAAAGAACCAGCGATTCAGCTTGAAAGATACGTAAGTACTGCCCACATCACCTTTTGTGCCCAGAAGAAGGGTGCTTTCCAAATCTAGAGAGGGTGGCTTCAAGTAGTGAAACATATGATTTTGCCCATGTTAAATTTAGCCAAGTGGGGCCAGGTGCAGTGGCTTACCCCTATAATCTCAGCATTTGGGGAGGCCAAGGTGGGCAGATCTTGTGAGGTCAGGAGTTCATGACCAGCCTGACCACCATGGGGAAACCCCATCTCTACAAGAAATACAAAATTAGCCTGTGGTGGTATGTACTTATAGTCGTGCTACTCGGGAAGCTGAGGCAGGAGAATCGCTTGAACCTGGGAGGCATAGGTTGCAGTCAGTTGAGATCGCACCACTGCACTCCAGCCTGGGCCACAGAGTGAGACTCTATCTCAAAAAGTAAAAAATGTTTAAATTAAAATAAAATAAAAATAAATTTAGTCAACTGGGAAAGAAGCGTTTTATTTGATTTTTATGGACCCAGGGTTTTTAGCTTTTGCCCACAAAAACTGAAGGCCTAAATGATCCAAAGGGAGCAAAATGTCCTTAATCTTGTACAGCAATCTGTCCCCAGTCAAATTGATGAATGTTTTAAAATAGTTCATTTTGGGGGAGTTTCTTTTTATTTCTTTTTTGTTGTTGTTTTAAGTGATGAGGTCTTGCCATGATCGCCAGGTTGGTCTCAAACTACTGGGCTCAAGCAGTCCGCCTCCTTTGGGCTCCCAAAGTACTGGGATTACAGGCATGAGCCACTATGCCTGGCCTTTTTTTTTTTTTTTTTTCCTTTTTCAACGTTTTCTTCCTAATACAGCGGACTTCAATACCTGCTCTGGTTGACCATTTAGTTTTCCCTGTTGTCTGCTTGGTGATTGATTTAGTGATTTCTCAACAGGTAGTAAGCTGTAAAGCTTAAGAATAATTATCATCTTGTTGAGTACATACCCTCCCAAATGCACCATAATTGTGAGCTGTGAAATTCTCTTCATTCATGGCTCAATAAGTCTGGGCCTAGGCTCTCCTAAGCCAAAGATAACTGCCAGTCTATTCTCTAGTCATCTCTCTGAAGCATTTTCCCAGATTTTCCTAAGCATGCCAGGGGCTAGAATAGGTATGTAACCATGTAGCAATTCACATTTTGAGTGTTTATTTCACACGCTACTGTTACCAAATTCCAGAATGGCAGTGATCTGTGGAGCTGTTAGCCCATTAGGCTCTAGAGAGCATTCATTTTCGCCTGTAAGTAACTTCAGTCCAGTGCATTTATTGTTTCTTAAAGTTTGCCTGTCAGTCATGGATATTTAACTGATACAGCTCTTGCAAAGACCTGCAGATTCCCATGTTGCTTCCAACTTTTCTCATAAAAAGATGAATATACTTTGGTTTTTGTCAACAAATGTCATAAGTAACATTGGTAATCATTCAGTAGTGATATTTGGTTTTTGTCAACAAATGTCATAAGTAACATTGGTAATCATTCAGTAGTGATTTTCCTACCAGCTCACCACAGCATTTTGTAGCTTTTCTAAACTGCCACCAAGAATTTTTGGTGTAAATAACTTCTATCCTAGAATATTGGAAGTCTTTCATGTTTCTCTCATCTAGATTACCAGCTTTTTTTTTTTTAGGATAATAGAAGTTTGTGGTTTTTTCCTTTATTTCCTTTTGATTATGGCTCTCTGATAAATTTGTGATGAGGTCATACACCTAACCTATGATCCCACAGGTGTTCCAGTGAAGACCCTGTGGGATCATAGGTTAGCTGTATAAGGACCAGAGGACAAATCAGTGACACAAAATGATTCCAGTTCTTTAACTTGGCAAAAGGGAACCCAAACGAGTAAGGATTATAGTTTTCATCTGTGCTTTCTGTTACTAAAGATTTCTACCCCAACACCAGGTGTGGTGGCTCACACCTGTAATCCTAGCACTTTGGGATGTCGAGGTGGATAGACTGCTTGAGTTCAAGACCAGCCTGGCCAACATGGCAAACCTTGTCTCTACTAAAAATATAAAAATCAGCTGGGTACCGTGACTCAGGCCTATAATCCCAGCACTTTGGGAGGCTGAGGCGGGTGAATCACAAGGTCAGGAGTTCAAGACCAGCCTGGCCAACATAATGAAACCCCGTCTCTACTAAAAGTACAAAAAATTAGCTGGGTGTGGTGGCAGGCACTGTAATCCTACCTACTCTGGAGTGTGAGGCAGGAGAATGCCTTGAACCCGGGAGGTTTCAAGGTTACAGTGAGCCAAGATTGCACCTTTGCACTCCAGCCTGGGTGACAGAGCAAGATGTGGTCTGGGTGACAGAGCAAGACTCAGTCTCAAAAAACACACACGCACACACGCGCACATGCACGCACACAATTAGCCAAGAGGTAGCTCGTACCTGTAATCCCAGCACTTTGGGAGGCCAAGGCTGGCAGATCACAAGGTCAAGAGATTGAGATCATCCTGTCCAACATGGTGAAACCCCATCTCTACTAAAAATACAAAAAATTTTATCCAGGCATAGTGGCAGGTGCCTGTAATCGTAGCTACTTGGGAGGCTGAGGCAAGAAGAATTGCTTGAACCTAGGCGGTAGAGGTTACAGTGAGGCAAGATCACACCACTGCACTGTAGCCTGTCAACAGAGCAAGACTTCATCTCAAAAAAAAAATTAGGAGTGCTGGCACATGCCTTTAGTCCCAGCTACTCAGGAGGCTGAGGCAGAAGAATCATTTGAACCTGGGAAGTGGAGGTTGTAGTTAGTGGAGATCATGCCACTGCACTCCAGCCTGGGTGATCTCTGTCTCAGGAAAAAAAAAAAAAAAGATTTCTACTCCAAAATACCATCTGCTGCTTATCTGTAGTAATAATGATCTTTCACGTCTATAAAATGCTTTGCAGTTTACCCAGTATTCTCCCGTATATTATTTCTTTTTTTTCTTTTTCTTTTCTATACCACCTCAGAACATGCCACATTAATATTATTATTTCTTATAATTTTTTGCAGTTAGAGAAACCGAAACTTAAAGGTAATCAATATGTCCATCTTCTCGAAGCTAATCTGTCAGAGCCAGAACTATTAATAGAACTCACTTCTTTTGGTTTTAATTTAGAGCCTTTTCATCTACTCCTGTCCTCAAAGGCAGGAAAAAAAAATACATGAAGCATCTACTCTCATGTCTTTCCTTTATTCCATGGCAGGACAGAAAAGTAAATGATAAAGAATATAGTCTCATTTCTAGCTGCATAATGACAAGTATTTTTCTATATACTTAATGTGCAAGCTTGAGTTTGTTTACCTCTTGGTTGTAGAAAAGTAGTTGAGGAAAATAGGAGATTATTAGTACTGTAACCTTGTTTTTTTGCAACTGATGTTTCTTCAAGGTAAATGAAATTGCACATGTGCTTTTGACAATACCAGCACACTTGACAATACCATTGTCTTTGCAGGAAAATTCAAATTCTAGATTCTTACGACCAAATTAGGTCTCTCGTTGAAAATGTTCTTTATTTACTCTTTTCCACTTAATTCTGACTTTGCTATGAGCACCACGTTTAGTAATCTGATTAACATGTAGGCAGATAAAAGCAAAGATGCAGGAAAAAGATTCACATTCATGTTGTAAAGACCTCCAAGGATTAAGCCAGGCACAGTGGCTTAAGCCTATAATCCCAGCACTCTGGGAGGCCGAGGCAGGTGGATCATGAGGTCAAGAGATGGAGACCATCCTGGCCAACATGATGAAAACCCCTCTCTACTGAAAATACAAAAACTAGCCGGTGTGGTGGCGAATGCCTGTAGTCCCAGCTACTCGGGAGGCTGAGACAGGAGAATTGCTTGAACCCGGGAGGCAGAGGTTTGCAGTGAGCTGAGATCGAGCCACTACACTCCAGCCTGGTGACAGAGTGAGTCTGTCTTAAAAAAAAAAAAGAACTCCAAGGATTAGTAAGAACGTAGATAAGCAGTCCCCACAGTGACCCAAATAGACAAATCTGCAATCAAGGTGGAGAAACCAGTTGGAAAAGTATTTGCCAAGAGCTCTTGAGTTTGGCTAGTGACAACTGTCGACAACTTTTTTGGAGTACATTGTGGTAAATAAGACTGAGGAACTGATTGTATGAAGAAGACACTGCTCTTCCCTAGCACTTAAGTGACTTGCTTTCTTCCCTCTTAATTTGTTTTAATCCAGCTTCAGACACTGATTCAGGAGACTGACCCTGGTGCAGATTATCGCATTGATCGAGCTTTGAATGAAGCTTGTGAATCTGTAATCCAGACAGCCTGCAAACACATAAGATCCGGAGACCCAATGTAAGTTATCTTATGCATGGTATTTATCCGTATTGTATTTTACTTGGCAGCACAAGGAACATTCCTTCAAATGACTTTTGGATGGTTTGAGATCTTAACTGAAATTTTGTTGAACAGGTTGAACATATACCAACTTTCAGTAAAACTAGTATTGGAATTGAAACCTAGGATCTGCCTCTCCCTGATACAGAGACCCTGGATCCAGTATTGTGATGGTGTTTTATTGACAGTGACTGAGCATATATGGACTTGTATATTAGGTTACTGAATAATTTTATATAATGATCAAATAAAAATGAGAGAGAGAAATACTCAGGATAAGTGACACATACTTTGGCACTCTGTAGTTTTCAACCTAGTTGTATATTGACTCATTGTATACATTGGCTACTTGGTAATCATCAGACAATACTTGAGGTCGCACGCGGTGGCTCCTGCCTGTTATCCTAGCACTTTGAGAGTCCGAGACGGGCAGATCACGAGGTCAAGAGATCAAGACCATCCTGACCAATATGGTGAAACTCCATCTCTACTAAAAATACAAAAATTAGCTGGGTGGGGGTGGACTGTGGTTGTAGTCCCAGCTACTTGGGAGTCTGAGGCAGGAGAATCACTTGAACCTGGGAGGTAGAAGTTGCAGTGAGCTGAGATCGCGCCATTGCACTCCAGAAAACAAAATGTGGCAGTTGGAGGGAATGGTAATGGACAAAACGAATACTAGAGTTGCATCTAAGATCTAGAAAAGCTGAATAAATGCTATATTAAAGTATTAATTCTTATACTTTAGTTTTATTTTTTATTATGTAAAAACAGCTCCATGGCTGGGTACAATAACTCATGCCTGTAATTCCGGTGTTTTGGGAGGCCGAGGTGAGAGGATCACTTGAAGGCATGAGTTTGAAACCAGCCTGGGCAGTATAGCTAGGCAACATAAAAGTTTTTAAATTAGCTGGCATGGCGGCATATGCCTGCAGTCGCCTCTACTTAAGAGGTTGAGGTGGGAGGATTGCTTGAGCCCAGGAGTTCAAGGTCACAGTGAGCTGTGATCTACCACTGCACTCCGGCCCAGATGACAGAGTAAAACCTTGTCTCAAAAAACCAAACCAAAACAAAACCAGCTGCAAAATAAGAACAGCTTCCGAAGGGTGGAGAGGGAAAAAAAAAAAAAAGAACGGCTTCCTTATTCTGCAAAAATTTTTGTAGCCAGCAGTTGGCCATACCCAATAACAAAGTGAATATAGTCCATGTTTATCTCATTCTGCTGTGCAAGAACTGCTGTTATCATGCTGTGCTAGAGAATTATAAAATTAGATTCTTCTTTTAAAGCTTTCTGTGTGGTTAAACACACTTAAAACTAATTAAGAATATTTACTGGCTGGGCGCAGTGGCTCACGCCTGTAATCCTAGCACTTTGGGAGGCCAAGACAGGCACATCACCTGAGTTTGGGAGTTTGAGACCAGCCTGATCAACATGAAGAAACCTTATCTCTACTTAAAAAATGCAAAATTAGGCTGGCATGGTGGCACATGGCTGTAATCTCAGCCACTTGGGTGGCTGAGGCAGGAGAATCGCTTGAACCTGGGAAGCGGAGGTTGCGGTTAGCTGAGATCGCGCCATTACACTCCAGCCTGGACGACAAGAGCAAAACTCCGTCTAAAGAAAAAAAAAAAAAAAAGGAATATTTACCAATGTAAAAATAACCACATCAACCAAAGAGGGGCCTGGGGAGAGGGAAAAAGGAAGGAAGAACTGCTGCAGTTGAAAATAAATTGAGATACTTATCAGTTATCCTTTTCTGGGTCCTGATTTGAACAAACTTGTAAAATAATAATAATAATTGAAATAATTTGAAAACTAACAGGATATTACGTGACAGCAAAGTTTTTTAAATAGTTTCATGGTGGTGTGATAATGGTGTTAAGTTCTTATATTTTAAAGAAACATGCTGAAATATTTACAAATGAAATGATAAAAGTATCTGGGATTTTGCTAGAAAATATCAGCAAAGGGGCCTAGAGTTGAAACAGACCTGGCCATAGATTGATAAAGTAATGGCGAGGGAACGTGGCTGTTACATGATTCTCTACTTTTGTGTGTGTTGGAAAGTTTTCATAACCAGTTAAAAATACAGCAGCTGCACACTGCCCCGGTGCATGCAGAGTCTTAAGTGCTGAGTGGCTCTGAAGTTGATAGAAGGCATAATCACTGTTAGGTTCAGTTAATTTGAGTGATTCTCAGAAAAATAAATTTGATTGCCCTAAGAAAATAGCTAAAAGGCTTTTTCTACAGACCAGGGAAATATTATGTAGACATCGAGTTCTGAAAACTTCTCTCCTGTTGTAATTTTACTCATTTTATGGCTAGGATTTTGTCATGCTTGATGGAACATTTATACACAGAGAAGATGGTGGAAGATTGTGAACACCGTCTCTTAGAGCTGCAGTATTTCATCTCCCGGGATTGGAAGTGAGTATTTTGAAGCCAAAGTGAATGTATTGCCTCAGCCTGTTCTCCTGTGTAGTCATAATTACCTGTATTTATTCAAATAATCAGTAGGAAACTCTTTTTGTTCAGTTTTGGGACAGCTAACATACTCCAGTCTCCTGAAAAAGACTAATGCTTTATCACTTTCAGAACATAATCTAAAAGCAGAATGAGCCTGCTCCCATTCTGTACCACACATCCTTGTTCACCAGTACGTTGGAAGTCAGGGTCAAAATGTTTCTGATACCACAAAGACCTGTCTAGAAAGAATGATGGCACCTGTAGGGGTGGCAGAAGCACCTTCAGATACGTCTCTAGGAAGATAATAGTGCACTTGTATTTTTATTGATTTGCAATGGATATGGGAATTTGTTTTTATTTCTTTATTCAAAGTTATTAAGTCTATCTTAAGAGGTTTTTGTCAATAAGTGACAACTTCTTGATTCTCCAATTTCCTTCTCATTCTGTTAACACAAAGTGATGGGGATGGGAGGACGAAATAGAATCACTGAGTTCGTTGGCTGTCATTCCGCCCTC